TATACAGTGTTCATTAATGGCGTACAGAAAAACTAGAGGCCCATTATGTGGCTAAAATTAAGTAAATTTTATTACACACACGTAGGCTCTTAAGGCCGCCGTTTCCGAGCTGCAGGGTTTTCAAAATTAAAAAAAAATAAAATTTTTAATTTTCTTAAATCCATTCAATCTTATTATTCGTCAGTAGGTAGTAGACGTTTCGCAAGATTTATTAACTAGGATGAATCGATTTTTCTATTGTAATGAAACAAGATAATGAAAAATGCATACGGTGTCTGCTATAAGAGTTTGCCGATTAATCCCAATTTAAAAATGCCAATCTACCAGGAAAGCATTTTTGTACAAAACTCGTAAAATGTCAGATGTGACGGTAAATTATTGCCACACGAGTTTAATGGGAACGCTCCATGTAGACAAGCGGTTAAGCCGTCATATTTCAAACAAAATACGATTCAGATTGGAAACCTTTATCTTGCGTCGAGTGTACTTATGACACTGCTAAGACGCTATATTGTTTTCTTAATTATATTACATTTCTGTGCACCGTTATTAATTTTTAAATGGATAAACCTCGAAAAAATGTGGAGTGGAGTGGAGAAGAAGTTCTTCCCGCCGGAGAAAAAAAAGTTACTTTCTAGGGAGTAAGTCTACCTGTAAATAAATAACAAAAATTCTACGACAATCGAAATTTGAACTCGGTGTTTCACTTTAAATTATGGAGAGTGAACACATAGACGAGTAAGAAATAATTGTTTCATATTTAGGTATTTTCGACTGACTATTTTCGTACCTAAATAAATATGCTAATGAAAGTTTTGTCAAAAACAGACTATTTCGACCTTTCTAAATTAATTTGTAAAGTACCTATGTATATTGTTAAACTTTAAGTCGTAAGATATGTAAGACCTTTTTTTTAATTTTCTCATTCATATTTTTCCTTTGAATTGTATATTTTATATTAACCTTATTTCCATAATTATTTAATTTTGTTTTGTTTGACAGAATGAGAAAATAACAATAGACAGCTTTACCAATTAATCGAAATAATGTACTACTTTTAGGAAAACTTTCCTCTTATTAATTTTTTTTTTATTGTTGAATACAAAAATGTAAATTATTTTTAATTTTTTGGAATTCAGTACTTCATTATGCCTAGCAATATGTCAACATTACCTCGACCGAAATTGCTGATAAAGGCGTGAATAGGATGGTTCAATTGACCTGGTGAAGAGGCATGTAGGCCGCGGTGTAGTTGTTTCTCGCAATACTAGTTATAGTGGATAATAATTTAATAGGTCTATACGTTTTTGAGAAACTTATTCTTGTTTTGTTTTTCTATTTTGTGTTATGTGTAAAGCGAAATTACATTAGCAAATTACATTAGCAAACAGTAAGATTTTCTAGGCTCTTATTTTAAAAAATATGTACGGTTCTGACATAGTAATTATGTCCAATTAAAAATTAAAAACAAAAAATGGTGGAGGCGCCGCTCGATGTGCACTGTGACAAACACAAATATTTCCTAAACTGTTAATTGTACCGAATTAAACCAAATGGGTTTTATCGTTGGCAAATTCTTTAGGGAACTTATTTTTGATACAGGCAGATTGCGATCGTCATCTATTCAAAAATTGTGGGTTCTTAACCATTGGGCATGGTCCGTCCCTGGTGTTCTGGGCATAATGAAGTTTCACTTGCAACATCAAAAACAAGCTGTACGCTTGTGTTATCGATCACCAAATTTGCATCAAGCTGAAGTTAATAGTTTAGAGACTAAATAAAAATTACTTTTTAATTCTCACCTTTGATGGACCGTAACTTGTTAACGTAAGCCCGTATAAAAAAAAATATATGAAGAACTGATATTATTTTTTGACTTCATATATTTGTACTCACTATTTTGTATCAAGTACCGGGACATCCTTTATATGTAACTTGAAAACAAATGAAAATCACATAATATTTGAGTTTTTTCTTATTATTTTGACTGGCGAATGAATTCCTAGGATTTGGTGCGATTCTCTCTACTCACCCTATAGACGTACTTTTTTTGCGTTTGTCCATGGAACAAATTATGTATTTTATACAGGGTGTTTCAGGATTAAGTCGACAAACTTTAAGGAGATATTCCTCATAAAAAAAAATAAGAAAAAATCAAGTATAAATTTTTTCCAGAGACGCTTCATTTTCGAAATATAGGGCGTAAAAAAAACTTCTAAATGAAGAAGGCTATTTAAGCCAAATTTGGCATGACACATCTTATAAGATACCATTTTTCCATAGAAGTAGAAGTCCCGCAAGCAACCAGTGGCGGAATTATGGGGACTCATTAAATTATAAAAAAAATTAATACGGCCCTACTGAAAATAAAAATATGATGCTGTCTTTGTTTTTAGATAGAACAGTTTGTTATTGACAAAAAGTGTACATTCACTGTTTTTCCTAACTCTTATAGTTTCATGGCAAAATTGATTTTTCGGAAGGGAGCTTCTTGATTCTGTCGATAAACTTTAAAATGAACCTCAACAAAAATTTTCGAGTAGGCTGCTGTCAAGCAATGTTAATTTAATGTTTTAAATGTTATTTTGCGAATTGTTGCAAAAATTATCCATTAGATAAAGCGTTCAAACTAATAATAAAAATAAGTTTAATAATGCCGTCCATATTTTCGAACAATGAATATGCTGATATGGTCTTTGTATATGGTTTTTGTGATAGAAATGCCACGGCGGCTCTCCGTGAATATGCAGTAAGATTTCCTCATCGCAGACTACCAGCAAAGGAAGCATTTTCAATGACATTCAGTCGTCTCAAAAAAACTGGATCTTTCGGAATTCCAACTTATGCTGATGGACATTTTGCCCCACTTCAGGACGAAGTAAGATCGAATACTGTTTTAAACCATTTCGATGAAAATCCATCCTAGAGTGTCAGAAGATCTAGCTATGAGCTAGGTATTTCGTCAAGTTCCATTTGGAGGACTCTTCGGGCTGATGGACGGTTTGCGTACCATATCCAGCGTGTGCAATATTTATTGCCTCAGGACATACGATGCGGGTGCGTGTTTTGTGACTGGATGTTAAACCAAACAGAGAATGATGAATTGTTTACGCAAAAAGTAATGTGGACAGATGAGGCAACATTTACTCGAAGGGGAATTTTAAACCAAAGGAACAACCATATTTGGTCCTACGAGAATCCACGGGCGGTAAGGGAACGTAGTTTTGGTCCCTACTTCCTACCGCATCGGTTAAATGCTGATATGTTTACCGAGTTCCTTGAAAATGGTTTTCAAGATTTGTTAGAAGATGTTACGCTTAATACTCGAATGAACAGTTGGTTTCAACTAGATGGTTGTCCTGCTAATTTTGGTAGAGGTCCTAGGTAGTGGTTAAACATTAATTATCCCAGGAGATGGATTGGTCGTGGAGGACCTGCAGCATGGCTCGCACGTTCACCGGACTTGACACCGATGGATTATTTCGTGTGGGGTTCTGTTAAACAAAAAGTCTACGAGGTGCCAGTTGATACCCTAGAAGATCTAAGACAGCGAATAATCCAACCGTGTCGAGAATTAACTCCAATTCAGTGTCGATCGGCCACTACCTCCATAATTAGAAGGTGTCGTGCTTGTCTACAGTCCGGAGGCGCCCATTTTGAACAAAATATTTTTTAAATGTCTAGGTATAATATTAATTGGTAATTTTTTGGTTGTTTCAATTTACAAATAAATTTTCATGTATTGTTTCCCATCTTATTTTATTTAAAAGTACACAACACAAGTAAATGAAGTGATTACAAACCGCCTGAAAAAATTTAGGAGTATTGCAAGGGTCGTTACGTTGTCGCATTACGACATAGTCACATTAGATGTTAGGTACTTAAATAGTTCTATTGTTTTCATCAACATCATTTTTTTTCTAAAAAAAACACCCTATATCTCAAAAACGAAGCATCTCCTAAATAATTTTAATACTATTGGTTAAACCCAAGGGAAAGGGAGACAAAAAGGCTTATTTGACTCACACATACTCGAGACTAAAACCAATTTTAATAGGTACTATATTTTTTAGGTTTTATGAGGAACGTCTTCCTAAAGTTTATCGACAGAATCCAGAAGCACCCTTCCGAAAAATCAATTTTGTTATGAAACTATAAGAGTTAGGAAAAGAAGTGAATGTACACTTTTTGTCAATAACAAACTGTTCTATTTAAAAACAGCATCATTTTTTATTTTCAATAGGGCCGTATTAATTTTTTTTTATAATTTAATGAGTCTGAGTCCCCATAACTCTGCTACTAGTTGCTTGCGGGACTTCTAGTTCTATGGAAAAATGGTATCTTATAAGAAGATGTGTCATGCCAAATTTGGTTTAAATAGCATTCTTTATTTAGAAGTTATTTAAAAAATCGAATTTTTAAAAACATCTTTAACGCCCTATATTTCGAAAATGAAGCGTCTCTGGAAAAAATGTATACTAGATTTTTTCTTATTTTTTTATGAGGAATATCTCCTTAAAGTTTGTCGATTTAATCCTGAAACACCCTGTATAATATGAATTGAAGAATTGTCGGCTTCTATGACAGCTACCCCGGCCCGAAAGTATATAAAATCTGCCTGGATCCAGATAGTCGGGAGGTTTTTGGCATATTCAGAGGTTAGATGACGTGTGAGGACTTTGACGATTAGAAAACAGAATAAATGTCAACTAAAAAAATGAATACAACATGTATTTAGACTGGTTTTGTCTAACAGGACAAGAAAATACACCAGCAGAGTATCAATTCGTAATTGATAGCAGTAACAGACAGCTTGGCAGCTGATGAAAATAATCTACTAGAACAAAGCATTTTAATGAAAAATAAATATGTATAATAATGATACCTTTTTAGTTTTCAAATTTATTTTCATAGGTATAAAATACAAAATTTTGCTATTTTTCTTCAATTTTTTTTTTTTTTGGATCATAGAAGTAGTCCTCTTAAAACACTCGTTATCATAATTCAATTGTCTGTCAATGTGACGACATTAACCCGTCCGAAATTACCGATAGGGGGCTGAACAGAGGTGCGAGCAAGCTACTTACTCATTTGAACTTGGCGGTCGACTTGAAACAGTGGAGAGTGCATTTGTTGTACACCTTCAAACACATCAACGGGTAAGCTCAAATTGTTTCATCTTCCTATATTTCTTGTATTTTTGATGGTAAGTGATTGTTTTCCATGATTGCAGCCATGTTTTGTTTCGACTGAATATTTTTGCGATTACTTATGTATCGGCTGTTTAAAGATTACGGGAAATGAAGATAAAATAGATAAAAATGAATCTTATTAAAACCAGATTACTTACTACAGCAAGATATTGTCTAATCCTGCCGTTCGGACCTTACTGGTTCTACATATTTTGACTTCCTTGCATTTTTTTATTACTCTAATACACGTATTTAGCTTATTGGTTTACCTGAGTAAACTTTTAATAAGATGGCTTCCCTTATCACTTTGTGACGTGTGACTTTATCGATTAGACACGCCTAGATTAATGACAAACTATTTTTTTTATTATTATTAAACCCGCATTATACATTTCCAAGGTGGATCACTACACTATTCACTTCATTTTTATCACCATATTCCTCGTCGTCTTTTCTTGACTTGAAATTTAGTAAAACAATTTCCTATGACTTACTCTAAATGTAGCACAGACATGCCATTTTGCGGATTGCAAAACTTTTCACAATTTATGTATTTTCCTGAATTTTGAACAAAAAATCAGTAACAATATGCCCTCAAAATTTCGTCTGTAACTGATAAATTATCCATTGACTTCAGCAGATAAATGGGAAAATATCAACTATATAACGAAATCATTGTAGATAAAATAGATAATATTTTAGTATATCTCCCCTAAGTAACACATATAATTCCGCTTTACAATATGTAAAAGAGAATGTTTTGTATCTACGGTAATTCAAAAAATTCCTTCAGATGTTTCAAATATCTACTCATAATTGTAGCAATGTGTTTATTCTTCAGTTTTTTTTATTTTACTGGAAACTAAAACAATGTTTAACATTTCTGTTTAATCCTTTGATATACAGTTATCAGAAATTAGATATCTAGAGACATACCTAATCCTCAATTTCTCATTTACTCCAAAAATAATAAATGTTCTTGAAGTGGACGGAGAGCAGGTTAAGATGATCTTATCCTTAAACTACAATTTATCAGGCTAATGAGGTGGTGATATTGTGGAAAATGGGATATACGTTTGTATCATCTCACTAAAACCATAAAAATTGGGGACTCTGATGCAAAAAAAAGATGTTTGATTAGTTTTTACACTGTCAAGTTAATTCATAAACTGTAGGTAAAGTATAAAAAACACATTAAATCTAAAAATATGTTATAAAAAGTCTAAAACTACGCACAAGAATTTGCTCAATTTTTTTTTATTGACTACATTATTATTGCGACCTAATAAAACATTTACAAGTAATGGTAATAGCAATAGTTAGAGATGTCAACAAGAATACCTAGTATAAGCGTATTATTCAAAATATGATGTTTTACACAAAAACTAAGGAAGTTATAAAGATTTTACAAAATAAATATCTGATTAGGCAGAACAGTTTAAAAAAAGTCAAAAGTCGTAATTTTCATTAAATTTTCAGCTAGCAAAGTGAGTCTTTTTTGTCACCTAGCTGCAAAATATTTTTATGTTCTAGAACGCCAAAGTCTTTTTCGTTCTAGAACATATTGTTGAAGGTTCTTGTTGATAATGCAAGCTTGAATTACTTAATATACGTTTATTTACAGAAAGGATTGTACAAGACGTATGTACTTCTACGTGGACATCTACACAACTACTGCACACTTAAAACTAGTTATTTCACCTATATATAAAGGGCAGACAAAACTAATAAACTAAGGACAAGAGTTATAAACACCCTTATTAAAGTAACCTTCCAGGTACCCGAGAATTTCCAGTACTAAATCGTTTCCTTCAAATACCAGGAAATTCCCCGATTACTTTATTAATATTGCCCTATAAATGTAGAGTTTACTTAATCTATTTATTACTACAACACCCTCCCTTAAACTTTACATTTTTACAACCTTAATTAATTACATCAATAATATCATATTTACTTGTTAGACCTAACTTAAATCTCAAATACTCTAGTCTTGATTTAGGTAGTGCTTTTGTAAGAACATCGGCTGTTTGTTCTTCACTTTTAATATACTGAACATCTATTTCGCCTTTGTCATATAAGTCACGTATAAAATGATATTTGACGTCGATGTGCTTNTATTATTATTTGGTCTGAACTTGAAATCACTAAACATCTCGGAGTATGAGTTTTGGAATTGGGAATTTTTATAATAATAATTGAGTCTTTGTCTTCTATATTATCGATCGTTATCTTTAGTAACTCATCTCTTCTCAAAATTCCACAAACACCAATTATTAAAATGACCTGAAAAGTTGAAGTTGAAAAAAGAGCAATTATTTTTTTTGTAGATATGACGCTCGATCTCTACAAATACACAAAAGGCTTTTAATCTGTGTAGTCTTAACTTAATTTTAAGCTCATAAAATTCGACGTAGGCCCGATTTTTGAAACAGGCATGTGTTTGGTCTAATTCGCCCCGATTATTAGTGAAAAAGTAATAATATGCAAAATTCAAGATACCCAATGCAACAGCTGCTAGATATTTTATATTTTCACAACATGTTTACCTCAGGAACATTTTAGAGTTACCGGAAATTGAAGTGATTATATTGCATTCTCTTATTACTTACCTTTAATCTCTAGATATAAGCAAATAAATATATTACAAGGTAACTGATTAATTGTCATTATTAGCAAACTCTCCTTAATTCATTTCTACGAATATTGTGAATGATAGTAGTATAAAGATTACTCTAAAAAATAATATTTTGAATGTATTGAAGTTTACCATAGTGAGAAAAATTAAAAGATACATATGTATCCGTAATTCTTCAAAGTTTGATAAAATTTAATTGTTCAGATATTTTGGAGGTATATAAAAGTGACAAGTAGTTATTGCCCATGAATATACGTGTCATTTTTTTTACTTTTTTATGTAATGGGTATTTCTGCCACACTGAAAAGAATTTTTTAATTTTTTTAAATAAATAAAGTTTTTGCAACAGAAAGATTAGTAAATGAGTTGATTTTATAAATTTTACCAGAAATGAACTATACTCAGAAAGTAGATAATTTAAAGTTTCGAAAACCTCTCATTTCATTTTCGAAATTTTAATAAAAATTACTAAGGCCCAGTTGTACCAAATATGCGTTCAGTTGGTACTACTGAAATTCCGAAGAGAAAGAAGAACGTGAATTTGTTCCCTGTATCCTAACGTAATTTTGGTAGTAAAATACTATTACTTTCGTAAATTTCACGAAAATCATAGATTTGATGTAGTGTACCGTCAAATAATAGTAATAGTAAACTATCTTGATTCTTCATTAATTGCAATTCAAGAAATACTCTCCTTGATTCACAATTGAATGGAATTTATGAAAATTTATTAAAATTTCACAAGGGACAAATATTCTTTAGAAACCAATTTCATATTATTTAATTTATATAAGTATAAAAAAATACAGCGATGGCCAAAGAGGTAGGGAACTCAAAAGAATAATAGCTTACATGTCATTTTTATGTAAATCCTAGGAATACTTTGTACCCAAACAAATAAGAACATTCAGAAATCCCTAAAGCCGTTTTAAAATTGTGAAAATTAGTTTCATTGTACCATATTGAGAAAGTTGCAGCTCAGTAGGCTTTTGTATAGTGCAGTGTAGAGAAAAATCACAATAAATTTATAGGCTTGTATTTTTGATAGCTGCAAATTTGTACTTTTTCCTCGACACTGAGTAATTTTTCGCAATAGCTAAGTGGATTTTCAAATTGAGGATACTATCTCGAGATTCTGCGATCATTTATTCAGTTTTCTTACACACCTTAAGCATTTCTCTTTTTTCCTTTATATTAATTTGTTTTTTTTTCACATTATTCTTCTTGAAATAATGCATTTCATCCTACATTCATTAACGTTTCTATTTCATAGTCATTGAATGACTGAACTATGAGGAATTAAGCTTTTTTTCGCGACTGAATATTCCTAAATATCTTACTTGTAGTTACTATTTCTATCTCTTTCAATCTTAGTTGTCATATGGTAGTTTAAATCTCTTCACTCGCTCATAATACACGTACTACATCATACGACTTCACTCGTGAAAAAAAGCCTATTGTTAAAAACAAAACCGTCATTTATGACTTCAGTGGCAGATTTAATCACTTTTCCACCATTTGTTGGGTATATGACTTTCTCGTGTAGTTTTTATACCTATCTGTTTGGAAGAGATGCATTTATATTTTTAAATTATTTGCTACTACTGCCAAGATAATTGAAATAAATTAAAGAAATTCTACCAAATGAAATCAAACAATGTTTTTCGATACCGATCTAGGTATGCAAAATATATTTAACCACATAGGTAGATAAGATTCTTAACTGATGACATTGCGGAAAACAGCTACTCTATGCGCTACGTGTCCTAACTAGTATTGAATTAGACCAGAAATATAACAGCTAGTAATTAATTATCTAAAATAGCAATAAAAAATGATATACGTAATATTGTTATCACAAAAACATATTCCTGACATATTGAAATTGTTAAATCAGGTAATCTCTCAAATAAGTATTCTTATTCTAATAAAACTCTTGAGAAAGACTAATAACGAGCGTTAAAATAAAAACGTAGTCAAGTTGGTTCTGAAAATTTGGACGTAGGGCGTAGCGTATAGCAAATGAACTTAAACGTCATCTGTCAAAGCGCTATATCGCCGCTATCAATTTGAATATTTTCGTTTTAAAAAGCGTTTAAAATGGTGTTTTCTCAAGAACAAAAAGTGTTTATCATAGAGTCCTACTTTAGAAATGGACGCAAGATTGATGGAATATGGAAGTATTCTATTGAGGAATGTTTCATAGAATTTCAAAATCAATTTCCCGGCGTTGTTGAGTACAAAATTTTTCAAAGTGCAGTTCAGCGTTGTGTTAATGTTTTTCGTGAAACGGGCAGTGTAACAAGAAAAGAAGGAAGCGGCCGACCTA